TCTGAGCACAGGCAGCTTTGGGGGGACATCTAGGTACAAGCTGTAATACTAAGTAATGGTATATGAATATATATCTTACCATCCATTCAAGTTTTTTGTATATTTGAATTTTTCCATATAAATAATTTGGGGAAAGAAAGAATGGGTCTTAGCAATGAGTAAAACAGATTCTCAGTCCAAAGAGCCAATGGAAAATATTAGCTATTAGATTGGTTGTTTTTCTTTCCTTGCACTAATAAGTGTATTACTCTGCACTACCTTATATTCTTAGGTAACGATGTCCTTTCTCATGACGTTTCTGTGCTTATTATTCTGCAGTAGCAGCGCTGAGGTGGTTACCTCTGAGTCCCATCTTCTGGCATTCGTACCTGTGAGTATCACCTTTTACCCTAAGTCAGGACTGACTGTGTGACCCCACAAAACTAGGCAGAAGGGGCAATGCGTGGATTCTAAGACTAGATCACAAAGGGCATTTTAATGTTCCTCTTGATCTCTTGTTCAAATTTCCTGTTTCTTTATTGATTTTCATTACTTGCTCTATATTTTTCTAAGAATTGGAAGTATAACTGTAATTGTAGATTTGCCAATTTCATTTCTATGTTTTGCTTTGTATAATTTGAAGTTTTATTAGATACATACACATACAGATTACTATGTCTTCCTAATGAGTTAACTCATTTATCATTATAAAATTCACTTGGCTTATTGCTTTCAATAGTGCTTGATCTAAAATAATTTTTAATGTTAATATAATCACTCCAACTTTCTTTTGATCAGTGTTTGCAGGGCCAGGGATACAGCTCAGCGGCATAAGCACCTACCTGGCAAGCACAAGGTCCTGAGTTCAATACCCGGTACCAAAAATTAAAAACCCCAGTACTGATCAGTGTTTGCATTATATGTGTGTGAAATATATATATATATATATATTTCTACTTTTAGCCTGTCTTTATATTTAAAATGGATTTCTTATAAATAGCATAAAATTGAGTCTCATTTTTTCACTATTAAAAACAGGTCTGGCTTTAACTGGTGGATAAATGAGTCAGGGTTAAACCATGGAAGCAGAATCCAGAGAAGATATGTTTCAAGAGATGCATCATTAGGAATTATCTTATGTGATATGAGAACTGGGTAGGGAAGTTTGAAATCCTAGAGCTGGTCACCAGGAAGGGCAAAACAGAGTTCTCAGACATGTCTGGCACTTCATTCCATAGGCAAGACTTCATTACCAATGCATTAGCCTTGCTCTTCAGAATTTTGAACTGACTGAATAAGGCCCACTAGATTACCTCAGAGAATCTCAGTTTACTTAAACTCATAGCCACACTGAGGTATGGCAAACTGTAGCTTAGACCACTGGACACATGAAAAGATCATCAAGTGGAGGTTGATCACAGTAAGACCATTTACATTTAGTGTAGTTATTAATAGCGTTGGGTTTAAATCTAACACCTTGCTGTTCATTTTATATTTATTTCTTAGTTCTTTCATCATTTTTTTCTTCCTGTGACTTCTTATGGCTTGATTACATTTTTATGGTAGTTGTTCCTTTTCATTTTATTTTTTAATGATTCTCTGAGGATTTCTAATTAAAAATTTTTTACTGACTTAAAACTTCTTGCTTGATAGGTTTTTTCATTCAGGACTTTCAAACTGTTGCTTCACTGTCTTCTACTAAGAATGGCTATTGATGAGAAGTCTTATCATTCTTATCCTTTTTTCTTTAGAAGGATTCCTATCCTCTAAAATGTTTTCCATTGGGATGAGTTTTAAAATTCTTTTCTTTGTGATCATGTCTCAGATATTTGGTTAGACTGTGCCTTGTTATGCTTTTAGAGTTTATTTGATTGGTCTTGTATCTGAGGGGTTATAATTTTTGTAAAATTTATAAAATATTATTTATTTCAGTATTTTTCCCCTGCTTTCCTCTTCTGGAATTCCATATGTGTAGATTATATTGCACCATACTGTCTTAGGATTACTGATACTCTGGGTGCTAGTCATTATTTCTCAGTTTCATTTTGCATGGTTTCTATGGTGTTGTATTTATGTCTATGGATCTTGTCAGGACAGAAGGAACCTTAAGGGAGAATTAAAAGACCCAGGCCCTTTTTAGAGGGTGTAAAAAGCAGGCTCTGTGTGTCCATGAGCAGCAGTTTTGTGGCTTGAAGCTGACAGGCTGTGGTTTTAACACCTGCATCTGTGCAGGTAATACTTCCCTCCTAGTACACACTGCCATGCCTACCCCAATTCCCCTATTAGCCCAGAATACCAAAGCCCTCGCAACAAGTCCAATATTCAGTCAACCAAGGGTGAACTTTCAGGGAGGTGGAGGCAGGGCCCCTACCCCATAAAACAGGATCATGGCCCCAGATGCAGCAGCCCCCATTCCTCTGGAGTGGATTTAAACCTATTCTTGCATTCCCTGAAATAAAATTTTCACTTCGCACTGGACTTCTCTGACTCCTTCTCCTCTTTATATGTTAGAGAGAGAGAGGGAGAGAGAGAGACAGAGAGAGACAGAGAGAGAGAGAGAGAAACTTGGCTAGGGTTTGTCTGGGGACCACTAAACCCTTAGACCCACTGGACATAACAATGTCTTCTTGTGCAGTACCTTTTTTTTCTTGTGTGGTACCTAATTTGCTGTTAATTTCACCCAATCCATTTTGCACTTCAGAGAGTTCCCTTTTCATCTCTTGCAGGTCCGTTTGGATCTTTGTATTGGTTCCATCCATATCTTACTTCAGAGTGCTCATGCTTTCCTGTACCTCCTTGAACATTTGTGAGTTTTTATAGTAACTATTAAACCCTTTTGCTAGTTTTATCACTTCTGACCTTGGGCTGTTCCTATTCAGCAATTTTTCTCACTCTTCTTTGTGTGGTAACTTCTGTTGGACATAGGACATAGTGAACTTTTTGATACTGAATGCTAAACTTTTTTGTATTGTTTGCTAGTGTTGAATTTTGTTCTATTACTTAGTTAAATCATTTGAAATCAGCATGAGTCTTGCTTTTAAACTGGATTAAGGATGCCCCAATGCTATTTTAGCCTAAGCCAGTGCCTAGAACTATGATAGTAGCTCTCCATTAAAGTAATTTTCTTCTTAAGAGTTTACCCAATGCCTCATGTATCACAGTTTCTTTCTGCTCTGGATGGTGGAACACTTTTTTCCAGCCCTGTGTGAGCTCAGAAAACTGTTGTAGATTCTATGTTCTGATGGTTCCTTTCCTGCACGTGGATAATTGCCTGTCACATACACATCTATAGTCAGCCAAGATTTGAAGGCTCTGCTCTGGCAATCTCTGTCTCTGTCCCCTCCCCGCTCTAGCTCATTCTTCTCCAGTATTTTCCTGATTCCTCTTCTTGTGCTGTGGCTTGGACACTGCTTCTAGGCAATAAGCTTGGGGCAATACTTCCCTTCTCTAAGGGATCCTGCCCGTTGAGTTGTCCACTTTCTAGAAAATATTATTTCATATTTTCCATGTGCTCTAGTTGTTTATGCCAGGAGGTCTGCTATTGCCCCATCTTGATCAGAAGTAGAAATGTGTCATTACTTGATTCGAGGAGACTAGATCATTGTCATAAAATAATCTTTTAAAAAGGAAAATTTAATGTCAAAGAAAGAAGAGATACAGTCATAACCAGAGGAGCAACCTTGGAATTTTATCTTTCATTTCTGACTTTAGCACACAGTAACCAAAGTGCAAAATTCTCATAGGACACTCCAGTTACTAAGCCACGCCCATTCACGGTTCTGGCAGTCAAGGTGTGTGCACTGGTAGCGATCCTTTGGGCACCGTGAACTTGACTGCAAAGTCAGCTTGATAGAAACTCTTGTTGGGCCATTGAGCTTTGGCTCTCTGTCCCTGCTTGAGCTGTGTAAGTATATCTGTGGGCAAATTAGAATTGAAAATGAGCCTCCTGCTCTCATTCCATTTTGGGCTAGGGCAGCCCAAAATTTGAGAGTGTTGGCTACCCAGTGACTTTCTTTTGAAGCAAGCAGGCAAAATCACTTAGCTAAGTAGCAACGGAAAAATGATTTAGAGCTTTAAATATATTGAATTTCTGGAAATGAGTTTTGCAATAAATCTGTAAAACTGTCACACATATGTAATTTCATTAGACTGCACAAAATAACTCCTTTCATTTAAATACAGTTTTAATTATTTTAATTTTTCTGTAAGACTTACCCCAAAATTAAAATTTTGCTTTATAGTATCTGGATGTTGGTGTGATACTCTGATTTCTTACTCTTCTTTTAATGTATTAGCCACATTGTCATTATCACATGGGGCCCACCTGTGACGTTCCCCCCCCCCCCCGACACACACACGGGCGACATGATCGTCCAGCAGGACCCGGCCACCCCTGCAGCGGGGCTGCGGGCCTCACTGAGCTTCTTCCCGGGAGCCTCAAAGAGCAGCCCTCGAGCAAGTGCACCTGCTGCACCTCAGGGCAGAAGCGCTCAGCTGGCGCATGCGCAGGAGCAGCGAGCATCTTCTCATCCGCGCTGTGCTTGAGGATGCGGTCACCGCACGGTGCTGGGCAGTCCGGGCCCAGGAAGGTGGCTGCTGCCAGGAGGCGCTCACCTCTACACTGAGAGAGCACTCAAAGACCTTTCACATTCACTCGGAACCTCTGGAAACCCCTTTCACCAAGGAGGACATCTTTAGAGATGTCTCCCACACCCACCCTCAGCAGGCATTGCCATCTAGTGCTTTCATCTCCTCAGAAGGAAGAAGCCAGTTGCTATTAAGATGTCTGTACCTACCAATGTGTAAGGCCAGCCTTCAGACTCTACCTCAAAAATGCATCTGAACGGAAGTGTCGGGCTAGTGGAGCACAGACCACTGCCCACTTCGCCCAGCCCCACCAGGTGGGGCTCCCGGAAGTGCCTTTAAAGGGCCCGAGGCTGTGTCGCGCAGGCGCAGTACTCCTTGCGAGTCAGCTGCGCAGCCTCAGTTCTGACTGAAAGGGCAGCTGCGCAGGCGCGGTAGTGCATAATGGCGGTTGGTCTCTTTTGTTGAGATCACTACTGACAAGACGTTGTGAGGGAGCTAAGGACCAATTGCAGAGGCCCTGCTGTGACCCAGGGCAGAGCCTGTGGGCAGAACATAATGAAGTGGATTAGCAGAAGGGCTTCTGCAGTGGCAGGAGACCCAGAGGCGCCCAGGGCTGTACAGAAAGGAGCTCTGAGCTGTGGCCTGGCAGCTGGGTGGGCACCCCGTGGCAAATTGCTGCTCGGGAACACTGTGGGTACTTCGGAAGGAGGCCAGAGGCACCCCACAGAAGGGTGAGCCAGGCAGTGTGTGGGGCAGGCCTACAACAAAGACCAAGATGGGCACTGGGGACAACCTGTGGCTTCCGTTAGGAGCATCTGCCCTACTTGAACGTCTAGCTCAGTGATGGGCATGCACAGGAAGAAGACAGCCTTCTGTGGGGGTGTCTCCATAAGGCCCTGTCCCCATTGCTGCTAGGAGTGAGAAATACTAGACCTTCCTCTGGGTTGGAAAAAATCTTCGTTTTATGCACATTGTGTTGCTGAACAAAAACAGAGATCTCGTTGGCCAAATTGTGACACCTAGAACATTCAAACATATAAGAAGGGCTGGGGTGCAGCTCCGGGATAGAGAGCTTTCCTGGCCTGCTCCAGGGTCTAGGTTTGATCCCCAGAACCACAAAGTAAAGAAGGAAGGAAGGAAGAGGGGGTGAGATAGAATGTGAGGAAGAACCCATGAATTCATAATAATCCTCAAAAAGGAAAAGGTACCTGGTTTTTGTTTTTTGTTTTTTTTTTTTTCAACAGAATGATGGCAACTATTAAACAAAGAAGGAACGCCAGAGCTGGAAATTGTCCTCTACAATCACCAATATAATAATGGATTCAGACAAGGGTTATGGTTGATGTGTAGTTGGATAAAAAAGGCTTAAGTAGGATCTCTCTGATCTCAGATTAATTACCCCACAGGTTATTTATCAGTTATCAAAGAGAAAAATCACTTTACCATGAGGAGCTCTGGAAGACAGCACCTTAATTAAGTGAACAAACATAGCATCGTGGGCAAGCTGAAGTCTTGAGGGAAGAAGATGGATCACCTGTGCAGTGTTCTTCCCAAAAATGCTTAACTCACATTGACTCAAGAGGAAACAACACAGCTTGTAGGACAAGTGTCTTAGACTTTTCAGAAGAGCTAATGTCATGAAAGACACAGAACACTGTAGCAAAATATTTTAGACTAAAAGAACCAAAAACATGCAATGCCTTAACTTTGATCCCAAATCGAAACAAAGCAGATATAACAATATTACTTGCTTCTGGCCAAAGCACAAGGAAGAGACAACTTTCCACTCGCAAACAAACAAACAAAAATCCCACAAAATATGTAATTGGCTGTCAGACAGTCAAGGAGAGTGATGACCAAGGAACAGGAAATGAAGGAAGTAAGCCCTAAGACTGCTGGGCTTCCTGCTTTCAGAGCATTTCCAGCATGGAGCAAGGAGCAGAAAGAAGCAGAGATCACTGTCCCCTCAGCTAAGGAAAGGGAGAAGAGAGTCCAGGAATGCCACTGAAGCCCTGAGCACAAAGCTGAGTGAGAGAAGGGGAAGCTCCCCACACAGCAGAGACTGGAGCTACTGGGAGGGCGGCTCAGGTGCTCTGGAAAGTGCTGTCAGTGTGAGATACCAGCTGGTCCGGGAGCAGAACCCCAGGAAGAGTGGGAGGAGAGGTGAGTGTCATGTGGAGTGAGGGACACTGCTTGCCCTATGGCCAGCCTGGACTCCACAGGATTCACAGGCCTTGGTACTCAGGCCTTGGTACCCCGTAGCAGCTGTGAAGAGGAGTCCAGACTGGGCTCCAATTTGCGGTACTCCCTAACACTAAATGCACAAGATGGAGACAATCCCCCAGCTTCTTTGAAAAAGAATACACAGTTTTTTATACCTGAATCTAACAATTCGATTTACAAAAATAAATTGAAAATGCTGTATTTCCTGTGAAATTGGTTGGATACAGAAATACAGAAGAGAACCAAAGCGGTTGAGAAGGAAGGAAAAACTATCACACTTAGTAGTCCAGCTGTTTAGTTTGCAAATCGGAACCCCAGTCTTTATAGGAAAACTGGCAAGGGCTCAAACAAAAGAAGACAATGTGGCTGAGGCTTGGAGTGAAGGAGAAGACTGCAGACAGTGGACAGGGGGCAGGGGACAGAGTCCTCAAGTCTCTGAGGGGCACACGGGAAGGGCTGCCCAAGGACACGAGGAGGCAACAGGGCACCCGGCCTCTTGCAAAGAAACCTCCGGATCCCCCACGCCATGGTGCTGGAGTAGCATCACAGGCGTGCCAAGGCCCAGGAACCTGACCAGAAACTGTCCACAGAGACAGACAGAGGGCAGCAGCCACCTCTTCCTACCCACAAGGTCCCTTGCTTGGCAGGTCCTCCACCTCTACCCCTGCCAAAGCTCTGCCTGTGATGAGAAACAGAGTGAAAACCACTGCATAGGAATTTTATAAGTGTGCACAGGATAAAGTTAAAAAAAAATGAAGGAAGTACACTTACCTTGCATTCCCAAAGGTCACCACTTAGCTAAAACTCTCCTGTGCTCTGTGGAACAAGCCAGGCCAAACTGAGTGCACAGCTCACATAGGGAAATGCACCCAGCAGTCTGAGGCTGGCGAAGAGGCCTCCATTCTCGGCACTGAGGAGTCTCATTGACTCCTCTTCAGGAGGCTTCATGGCAGCCAGGGGACCTGCATGTTTCTGCTGCAGACTCTGCCATGGGCACTAACTCGACAGCCAAAAGGGATCAGTTAGAAACTCGGGTCATTGGTTAGAAACTCAGATGGCCCAGTGGCTCCAGCTGCTCATCCCCAAGAACAACACGAGAAGGCTCATTTCCCATGTTTTCCATACTCGGAAAATAGACTGCGCTGAACCCTAGGCACCCTGGCAGGTCCAAGCTCATCGCCAGGATGTGCTGCCTGGTGACACTTCGTAGCGAACAGCGGGAAGCCAAGGTGTCTTCAGGCCCAATGGGAGCTGGAGCAGTGAAATAATGAGAATGCCATGAGTGAGGGCACAGAAGCCTAGGGTGAGCTGAAGGGGCAGCAGGAGCCACAGATGGTGAAGACAACCACCCCATCAGGGTCTGCATGCAGTGCCCGAGTGGGACACCAGGCCTCCCTCTTGATATCTTGTCCTGGCCACATAGCCTTGGCTGAGGCAGTGATCCCTGCTTCACTGCCTGAGAGAATGAAGGAGCTAACCCAGCACACAGTACAGGATAAGCTGCGTAGCAACAGGATACGCGGCACGTTAACTGTGGTGTAGTTTCAAGAACCTGCAAGCCGCTTCCCTGGGATAATGGGATATTGACTAGTTAGCGTTCATCCTTCCTGTCTCTTTGCTGTTCAGCCAATGCTATTCTCCCCGCTCCTTTTTTTAGCTGAGACATTTGCTGGAACGCATCTATACCCACAAATCTGTCCTAGCAATAACAGCGGTGACAGTGATACCGAAGGGTGTTATCATTGCCCCCTGGGTTGTGAAGGTAAGGACAATAATTACTTCATGTTTTCTGACTGTGTGCTCACTGGGTATCAGATTCAAAATGCACAAACTGAATGTCCAGGCCACTTCTGCCTCCTACCTGACACTCCTTCTCAGGCACTAAGACCGAGCTGCGCTTTGTTCTTCATTGAAAAGTACATTAAAGGGATTTTAAACTGCACTCCCAGGTGATCTCTGAGGAATGGAAGCCGTGATAACTCTTAACTACTCTGTATTGAGAAGTTAAGTATGGTGGCTAGAGTTGACACAGCGGTAAGCTTTCTTCGACCCAAAACCAAGTCCACAGCCTGACGTCCTACCAGTCTCATACAGCAGCTACCTTTAAGAATCTCTCTTCCCCAAGAGAGGAAGGACAAGGCCAACACGCAGAAGTGTGTCCTGCAGCTGCTAGGTGTGTGAGGTGCTGGCTACCAAGGTCCAGTAAGGCACAGTTGCTGGCTCCATCCCGTGCTGCTCTAAAGTGGGACCCATGGACTGTAGTCTGCTCGTGGGCTTGCCTTGGTTTCCCTTTTGTTTGATTATGCAGTGGTTTAGCATATTTCTCTACAGGCAGGTGCAGGACTATTATAAGAATAATTTAATAAGCTGACAATCTTGACGATGCCCTTCCAGTTCAACACCTAGTAACTTGCCTGCTGGCTTTCCCACAGTCACGGCAGCACCGTCCATGCCCAGGCACACTGGGCCAAGTGCTAGTAACATAAAACTGTCCAGTCCGCTTCACTGTTTGACACTGTAGGTGACAAAGGTTTTGGTCCACCATTGCCCGTGGTCAAAGCAGTTCTTTCTGTCTGCTGTGTCCTTGTCACTGAGCTACCCCCTGCCCTCTGCCCTTGACCTGCTGAGGTGTCACTATGGGGAGACCATCCTTGTGTCACTAGGGGGAGGCTGGTCTTGTGGGGGTTGAAGAAAGGGCCCCACAGAGCTGGAAGAAGCTCATCTGCATGAGAAGCAGCACAGGAAGCTCCTGTCAGCCTTCTGTTTTGACTCCTGCTAGCACCCAACATGCGCAGGGGTCTGTGATGAATCCAGCTGCTCTTTTCAACACCTTGGTCACCTTTCAGAGAGGGCAAGCAATCTGCAGCTCCAGTATCTCCACAGAGAAGGGTCTGAGGTACCGGGCGTGGTGACACACACCTGTAATCCCAGCCCTCTGGAGGCTGAGGCAGGAGGATGGAGAGTTTGAGCACGGCCCGGGCAACTGAGCAAATGAATGAGACTGTCTGAAAATTTAAAATAAAAAGGTTGGGGTTGTAGTGCAGTTTTAAAGCCTGGGGTTCAGCCCTCAGCACTGCATAACAAAAAGGGGCCCCTCGGGGATGGCCGTCAGGTTGGCAGCAGGCTTGTCTGAACCCTGTGCTCACCCATTAAGCGTACTGCTTGCTTGCGATGGCCAGGGTGCTGGAAACTGTGAGGGGCTAAGTCCTTCCCCAGCCTCCTCAGTCCTCCCAGTGTCCCCCATTCTGTGTCACTTCGAGCCTTTCTTCTCCTGTTTGACGCCACAACACTGAGGGTTTACCTCTGCTGCTTAGGCTTCTTTGTCTTTCCTTTCCACACTTACCACTCGGGTGTGGCTTTGGGGCCAGGTGCAGTGTCACACTTTCAACAGTGGTTGCTGAATACATAAGCAGACGCCTTCTGTGATTGAGTCCATGACAAAAACTCAGGTGCTCTAAAAGGGGAAGGAAGTGTTGCTTTTTGTGCCCTGTCGCAGAGTGGACAATGTGTGACTACTGAGACTGGGCCACGAAAGGTATTTCAGCTTCCAGCAGGGGCTCTCGGAGAAAGCTGGGACACAATTTGAGGTCTGTCTGGGGAGGAAAGAACTAGCCAGAACCAAGCTGCCAAGCGTGTCAGCGGGCCACCTTAGCGGTCGGTTCTCCCAGCCTGTGACACCTTCGAGATCTGCAGCCGCAGCCACCATCAGCCTAAACCTCATAAAAGGCTCCCAGCCTCCCGACTGTGCTTTCCTTGAATTCTTGACTCATGGAACCCACGAGAGATTAAAAAATAATGGTGATTGTTTTAACCCATATGTTTGGTGTTGATTTTTCATGTAGCAATAGTAATAGTACACAAGTGAATGACTTATTTTAGAAGTTTGACTATTTTTATGGAAATCAAATTAAGTTCATTCTTAGACCGCTTCTTCTTCATCCTTTGATCAACTTCTAAGAAGTCACAAAAGCTATGTTTCTTTTATTTTTTCCAGGAAAATGAAAACTTAGTAAAGGTAATCACAGGTTTCCAAGAAATTGGTATTTTCAACTTTCATTTTCAAGTACATTTTCTTCTATTTTTCAACTTGTTTTGAGTGAGACAATGATAGTTCATTAGCTATAACTTTCTTTTAAAAAGTTATTTTTTCCAGTTACATCTCAGGCGTTTCAAATTTACTAAAAATTTCTAGAGTCATTTCCTCGTATAGAAACTCCTTGTGTCATGAATGGATGTTTTACACAACTGATTTTCATATTGGCACAACAGTTGGCATGAGTAAAATGTTAAAATGATGTATACTTGGAAATTACATTCAAACTACTGTCCTGAAAATCTGAAATTCAAGGTGCTTTAATATCTTACAGTTGGTCTGAAATAGTTTTTTTTTTTTAATGCTCTGAAACATTTGATTGTTACCCATGTTTGGGTGTTCAAACATCATGTGTTCTCATGTCTAGGATGTGCTTCTGTGCTCTGGCTTTAGTTTATTCTCATGTAGAACGACAGATTCTTAGCCTTGCTCCAACACACAGATCCCCAGTGTCCTTGTGATACTTTGAGATTGCCTGAATAGGAGGACTAGTCCTTCTGACTTACTTCATGCCCACCGGCAGGCCTCTGACCCACCCTGTGGATGCCACCGAGGTACCAGGATGGAAAGTTCCGCCAAGTCTCAAGTGGAAACTCAGCTCTCCCTGGTCATGTAGTGAAGTGGAGGGAGGTAAAGCAGAGGAAGGTAAATGATTCTGCCATTAATGACAAGAACTCCCAAGGTCTGTGATTCTCTGACTGCCTAGGACCAGGATATTTTAAATGCTGAAGTTTGCATGAGATCATGTTCATCCCACAGTTAGGTAGAAGCCAAGGACCAGTATTATCGTTGGGCTCCTCCTTTCCATGGAGTATCAGGAATTCTGCGCGAGGCGGAAGAGGTCTTGCCTGTATTTTTCTCACCATGGAGAAAAGAAGCTTCCTCTGTGGTGGGCCTCTGTGGCAACTCAGGGCAGAGTTAGCTTGCCCAGCCGCTGTGATGACGCACAGCAGCAAGGACCTGCTGCAGGGGGTGGAGGAGGTTTCCACACAGGTGATGGAGGCTGTTCTTACGGTATTTTGGGGACCATTGATGTTGATGAACTTTCCTTGAGAAAAATCATTTTTAAAGGAATAAGTACTCTTCTTCAAAGGATGTTTGTCTAGTATAAAGAAAAATTTAAGATGCTGTAAGAAATCTCCAGGTTAAAGAAATATGGTTTGCTTCACACTTATAAATGCCTTTCTTTCGTATCTCATCATAGGAGGCAGAGGCTGCCTGTGCCCAGCGGCAGAGAGGGGATCTCCCTGAAGATCCACCGTGCCGGACCCCGTGTGCCTTGGGAGCACCAATGGAGAGTCCTGTGCCCTGAGTCGGCTCCAGGCTTAGCTCTTGGAGTCTGCCTGTAGCTCACCGTCCAGAACTAGCAAAGGGTTAGGAAATGGGAGCTGCCGTTAGTTTTTCTTATTTTAACTTCAGACCATCCAGCAATTGCTGCATTGTTTATCCAGGAAGTACTGTTTTCTACTTTCTTAGTGATACTGCTTCTGCTCTCTGAAGGCACGTTTCATAAATAATATCCACAGGAGGCTGATGCATGTCCAAGGAGCGGCCCTCATCTTCCCCATGTTTCCAAATGACCTGGAATAAGTCTTACTCCTTACTAGGAGAGTGGGCTGAGCTCACCGGCCTCCTCCTCCTTTACCTCCCTGTGGTGGATCTTGAGGCTTTGGGCAGAAATCAGTGTTAGCTGCGTAGTCCTGCGGGGAGGAGAGCTTATCTTCTCCCCTTGTGCTTTAAGGGAGGCTTATCTGTCCCTGGATCTTCTGGAGCACACTGGAATTTATTTGAAGGGTGACTTGGGGGTATCCTTAATTTTTGCTTCCTTCTTTCATGGCTCACCCTTTCTGCAGACTATGGAGAGATAATTGTCTGAGAGGCAGCCTGACCTGCATGCTTCATGTTTGAACAGAGTCATGGGTAGCACGATGTTCGGTACATAGCCCCTCCACCGAGGATGAGCCAAGGAAACAAATCCTGTCTTGTTACTCTCTTGCCTTCTCCTGCTTTCATCTCTACTTCTTTAACTTAGTTGTAAAGCTTGAGAAGCATTCATGCTAAGCTTCTTTGGAATGCTGTAAAGGTGAGGAAATGAATTACTGTGCTTTCTGCAACCTCAATATCAAACCAGAAGGCATATGCTTTGTAAAATGCATCACATAAGTTATACACGAGCCAGTAGAGTGAATAAAAGGTCTGTGATCAAAATATACAGTGACTAATTAAAGTTTAAAAATGTGTGATAAGTAAGAATACATTGCCATTGGCTCCCTCCCCCCAACACACTTACCCCATCATTCTTGGCACTTTCTGAAGCAGTTCTGGAAGACTTCTTTTGTGAGTATCTTTATGAGGTGGGATCAAAAATAGAGTGACTGCCTCCACGGAGCGCCGTCCAATGGAGAGGCAGCTCTAAAACATCACAGAGTGTCCTCATCCACCTTATTCACCAGATCTGCCACCGTGTGACTTTTGGCTCTTCCCCAAAGTCAAAATGGTCATGGTAGATACATGTTCTGAATCAATTCAGGACACGGAGGAGGCACAGCAGCCACTCATGGAAGAGGACTCCCAGAACTGCTTCAGAAAGTGGCCGGAGTGATGGAACGTTTGTGTTTGAAGTGAAGGGGAGCACTTTGGGATGGATTAACGACAATGTGTCTTTTATTGTAATAAACGTTTTTAAGTTTAAACACCCGCTGTGCCGTCTGCTCCCACCTGTGTGAATGGACATCCCTATCGGCCTGTGGGAATGAACACATATCCATGACTTCTTGGCATGAACTAAAAGATGGAAGTTCTCATCCTTGGTTGCAGACCTCCCTAAGAAAGCAGCCCCTGTGAGGTTTGGTAGTGTGAATATAGCAAATATAATATATTATAATGTGATCATATTCTAGAATCATATAAATGATTATAGAATCTCTAGAAAAGGGGCAGCAATGGAGCGGGCCGCTGAAAAATGGGACAGGAAGGGGCCGGCAGCCTGGGAACCTCATCTTGGGTTGTGATGGAGGTGCTGGTGATAGGAACAGGTGTCTGTCATCCATTCTGCATCACAAAAAGTCACTCTTGTACCCTTGGGTTGATTATTTCTGACTACCAAGAAAACAGTGAACAAAAACCTGCAAAATGCATTAGTAGAAGAGGAGAAACAAATATTTTTAAAAGCCCCTCTGAGCCCTGTTCCAATTTCATTTCTTTATTTTCCAGATTGGAAGAGGCAGATTTCTGGAGCTGAGTCAAATGCATTTAAAGGCCCACAGAGAAATGATTTGAACTAAGTGAACTTAATCTTTTTATTTGCAAGTCTAGATTTTTGTTAAAGAATTCACTTATCATTTGCGTAATTTGTTAAACAAATATTTACTGAAGACCCTTATTCTTCTGGGTGAGAAATAGAAAGGAGTGAAAAGAACTTTTTCAGTTCAGTTAGGAAGAGGAAGTTAATAATAATAAATTTTTAAAGACCTGAATTAATATGAGTGAGATCATTATGTAGAGCAGTGGTCAGTAGGTATCGGAGCCAACTTTTCCATACTTGAAGCATTATCACTTTGGAACTAAGAGTGATCGGTGAGAAATGAGTGATTGGCTCTTCCGTGCCATTGCACTGGACACCTGTGCCCTGCACCGCCACCCCCCCTCAAGCGGCAGGCAGTGCCCTCTTGTCCTGGTGCCTTGCCCCGTTACTCCCTCTCTGAGGCCGTGGTGGAAGGAAGGGTGGTTCTCCTGGGCTCACCCTGCTTCTGCGCATGGAGCGCTGGGGGTGGTGGTGTGCAGTGGTGGTGTTTCCTGGGGCTTCCTTGCTGCCGGCCACGTACTGCTGTCCTCCCTCCTCACTGCCAGGCTCCGTGGACAGTCAGGCCAACCCTCTTGGTGGCCCCTCCTAATCATCTTGTTTTTTGCTTTTTAAAAAGAGTTTACAAAGACATTGAGGTTAACAAATTTGTGTCTTCTTCTCTTTGTACATTTAAAGGAAATATTTTGTTAGCTACTACCAGGCTGTTGGGTTTTGGTTTTGTTGTGGTGGTTTTTTTTTTTTTTTATTTGCTCCTATTCCTTCAGAACCTGGGCTAAGCAGAAGCCCACTAGCAGGAGGATGGCTAGAGCAGATTCTGCCCTTCTCCATGTCCCCCTGGGCATCCAGGTCACTGATCTAAACAGATAGATAGATAAAAATCAGTTTAAGTGAACTCTTGTAGAAGGATTTGTATTTATGCAAAATGGGGAGACAACATTTCCTAAGACAAATTATTTTACATTGAAGAAATGGGTTCAGGGAAGATCACATGACTTGATTCATTACTGAGTCAAAATTATATTCTCTTTCTCCTACTCTGAGTGTTTCACTGTGCATGTTCTACAGGAGGCTGGGACTAGGGTTCCAGGGAGTGAGTCAGAGGGAGCCAGGCCGGGAATCTGAGAAGGAGTGTTGTTGTGACATCGGGGCTGTTGGGCAGGTTGCTCAGGAGTAGAGAGGCATTGTGGCTGCAAAGACAGTGCCAAGGGCAAGATGGGGGCGGGTGGTTCCAAGGTACCAGCCTGTCCTGGCCAGACATGCAGGCCTTTCCTTGACAGAACTGCTGAGAGCTTAGCGAAGGTTAAATCTGCACATCAAGGAGTCAAAATAGCAGCTTCTGGGAAAGCTGGGGAGTCAAGGAAGGATTTATGATAATGACGGCACCCAGGGTGACCGGAAATGTCTTTGTCCTCACCAGGGAAAATCAGCTCCAGATAACATCAGTTGATTCCTGGCTATGGTGGGTGGCATAAAGAAATAAATAAATTAATGGGCTAGAAATGAAATGCTAATAGACTTGGTGGGAAGTAATTTGCAAACAAATTTTTCTGCTGCTCAGGACGCAAATGGCATCTCTGGGAGAGGTCCGTGGGTATCTCCAACATGTTTCCTAATTGCTAATGCTAATGACTAGCATTACTATTTGCATACCACCATGGTAGCTACTGCTGGGTTGTCAGGTTTAGTCGTGGGTTTTTTGTTTTGTTTTGTTTTGTTTTTCTGTTTCTATTCATTCAGAATCTGGGCTAAGCAGGAGCCCACTAGTAGGAGGATGGCTGGAGCAGATTCTGCCCCTCTCCATGTCCTGAAGAAAGAAAGAGAGAGAGAGACAGAGAGAGAGAGAGATACAAGATGGATGCATGGATGGATGGATGGGTAGATGGACGGACACTGTGTGGATGGATGGATACAGCCAACTCTCCGTGGCCAGTTTATGTAGCATTTTAGCCACTTTCAATTCTGGGAAGCCCCACTGGCCAGCAGAGGAAAGGCCAGGCCCTGGGGCAGACCCTGACTCAGCCACTCCCAGTGCCGAGATCACCATAATGGGAGCTGGGTCAGGATGCTGCGGCCAAGGGTTCAGTGAATATCAGCCCAGCTGCTGGCCCCGCATAAGCTCCAGTGAAGGTGGATTCCTACAGCTGCTGGGCTTGCATCGACTCTTGTCCTGTCCCAACAGCTATGTAATTTTTGTAACTAGAGTGGTTGTGGGGGAAGTGTGCGGTTCTTTCCTAAGGCACACCTTCCTCAGCAGGCAGGGCCCCGGGCCTTCTGCTATCCCTGCTCACGGGCAGCGACATCCCAGGAAGCAGTCACCTTTGCATCCTCCCATCTCTGTCACTGCAAGAAGGAGAGTCTATGGATGAAGGCTCCAAACCTAGCTTGTGCAGGACTGTTGTTTACGGAGCCCACAGTGGCCACATAGCTTCTGGCTTCTTGTTTGATTTTCTGGTAAAAGGAAATGGTGGGAAAAATTTCACCTTGAAATTGATCAATTGACCTCTGGCTTTTCTTCTCCATATTTTGACTATCTTTTTTGTTGTTGCTCAGGATCTTGCTAGGTAGTCCAGGCTGGCCTTAAACTCACTTATGTAGCCCAGGCTGGCCTTAAACTCATGGCCATCCTCCTGCCTCAACCTCCCAAGTGCTGGGAGTACAGGCGTGCACCACTATGTCTGGCAACTTGGACTACCTTGATGGGTTTTTAAACTAAGAAATGAGGCCCAGCATATTGTCCACACCTATAATCCTAAAGCTCTTGGAGCCTGAAGCGGGAGGATCCTAAGTTCAAGCCCAGCCTAGGTAATTTAGAGACTTTGAAAGGGACTGTCTCACAATTTAAAAAGGCCTGGGATGTAGCTTAGTGTGAAGGCCCTAGGTTTAACTCCCAGTGCTGTGAAAGAAAAAGTGGAGGGGAGGCTAAATGAGATAAAGGCATTTAAAGTATAGCTAGTCTACTGTAATGGTTGATACATCGTGTCAGCTTAAGTCTAGAAACTTAAGTACTCAGCAGTTCTACATCCTGGAATTTAAAGCACGGATCCTCACCGCTCTAGGATGTTCATTGTGTCAACTTGAGGAGTGTAGAAGTTTAATTAAGTAACTCAGCAGGGGGCCAGGGTCCTCACTTTGTAAACATCCTCAGCTTGTACAAGAGGAGGACTCAGAGATGTGAGTGCTACACCCACCTGAGGGTTGGTAACTTGCATACAATATAAGGGAGGAAGAGAGGTTTTTCCTCCCCACCTTGTGCTCTTGTTGCTTTTGCTGTCTTCCGCTGCCATGAACTGGTGCCCTCTGCCGTGCGCCACCCTGCCTTGGAGCAGGCTGAGGATGGACTGAAACCTCCACACACTGTGAGCTGAATAAACCTTCCTCTCTAACTTTGGATGTTGAGTATTTTGACTAAGCAATGAGAGAAAAGTAACTTAAGACATCTATCTTATTTTGACCTGAGCTTTAAGTAGTCTTTCTTTTTATTATAAGTATTTTAAATTTTTCTGTATATTATGATTTTTGATATTTAAAAAAAAGTTTTCTATCTGGAGAGAAACTGCCCTTCCCAGGCTAGCCAACTCCTTTTTTGATTTTTTTTTTTATTAGTATATATTTGCAGTACATGATTACAGTCACCATGGGGAGCTGGTACTTGTACATAGCACAGCTGAATTCTTTCCATATACCTTTTCCCTTCTCCCTCCCTCTATCTCTTGGGGTGCAGCCTGGATGTGTCCTTTTTTTTATTTTAAAGACAGTAGTAGAAAAATAAATCAAACAAACAAAAAAAAATCAGAACAATAGCAACATACCAGCATCACAGACAAGCACAACAGAGCAAGAACATTAAAAGTGATACAGGCTTTCAAAACAAAATGATAGGAATTAATAGTGGTTGTTATATTACATATTGTTATCTTCAACTACATTGCTCAGATTGCCAGATATAAGAACGGAAGACTGTTCAAACTATTAAAGAGAATAAAAAATAATTATTAAATAAAACCTTAGAGATAATACAGAGTTTCATTACACAAGATGGTAGGAATTCACCAATGGTCGTTCCATTGCATATTGTTGTCTTCAAAGCAGTTGCTCAAATTACTAGATATAAGCATACAGAATTGGTGAAAATATAAAAAATTTTAAGCATTAACTGTTCCTTTCAATATACCAAGCCTGGATGTGTCTTTGAGAGGCCTTGACATAATCTTCTCCTACTTCTGGTGCATCCTGGAGGTAATGTTCTTTTACCCTGCTCATCTGAGAACCAGAGGCCAGAGGCTCAGGACCCAGGGCTCCAGCCCAAAGCCAGGAGTGACAATTCACACTGGCCAGTCCCACATTGCTCCCCGGCCTGCTCCGTGGCCCCCAAGGGAACCTGAAGAGAGCTGCGAGGTAAACGTTTACCTTGTTTCCATCTTCTGCCTCTGATTAACCTGCTGTCTTTCCCAAGTGTCCTTGCATCGCAAGTCACACCACCTGTCTATGAAAT